GCGGAATGATACCATAGATTTGGAAAATTTTATATTGCTGTTTATCCTTTATATTATATTTGCGGTTAAATATTTATATTATTATATTAATAGTAGATTCTTGAGGGTAGGTAAGTAGGTTTTTCTATATTATATTATTATTCTTTAGTGTAATATTTATTTTTTGAATTTTTATTTGCTTCCCTCGTATAGTTTAAAAGTTTACCTCGCAATTTAATATCCACACTTTAATTTTATATTGTTTATCTTTTAATTATTAGCATTGCATATTTTAGTAATTTTAAATATCACTATTTTATATAGTAAAGTAAAATAAGTAGATTCTTTATTGTTTCTATAAAAAGACAGAAAAGTTCTTGTTGTATTAACATGGATAATAATTCATCTAGAACGAGTTTAAAAAACAAGATTTGTTTGCAATTTTCTTAATATGTATAATAATTAATATTGTCATTATTTGAAATAACTTTGTCATAAATTTGTCCTGTTTCTTAATTAGTCATGAACAGGACATTGACCTTAAGCAGATCGAAATATTTTGATACTCTAAGAATCTTAATGCTTCTGAAATATAAAAAAACATCTATATATGATTTTATGTTTCTTGCAATAGTAATTAAAATATATATGTATGTATATGTTTCTACAATACTTATTTACGTAATTTTTTTCTGACTGCATACAAATTCTTGAAAATTTAATATTTGAGCTTGATTTTGAACAAAATTAATTCGGAAGCTGTGTAAGGAAATCAAGTAACAAAAAATTAGCCTCCACTAATAACCGAATTCACATATTTCTATACGCTCATTAAGTGAAAGGCTTTCTAAGAAATAAGTGTTTAAAAGACATTATCATAATCTTATCCGCAACATTTTAACAATTCCGATGCTTATATCTTAGCCAGATATAAAATTTTCTTAAAATTATTAATATTTTCCATATATTTAATTGAAATTTACTCAGTTTAAGTATAGCATAAATTTTTAATTAAAAATAATTAGCTTATGCACATAAATAAATTTATTTTGTTAAAATGACTCCCTTATTTGACAAAACAATAATAAATTTCATTTAAATATTAATAGTAATTTATAATAGGTGGCGCACCTTTCTAGCAATTATGTTAACATAACAGAGGTATACGTACATATTTTTTTTATTTTACCATGCAATTAATACAGAGTTAGAAGCAAAAATTTTGTCAAAATTTGTGTTCGAACAAAAATATATTCTCGTCTTAAATAATAAGTATATTAGAGTGTAATGGAATTTAAATTGGACAAGTTCATTTCATTATTCAATATTTCTTGTATGTTGTTCAACTTTTTATTTTTAAATGATATTTTTAAAAATTTTTATTACCCCATTTTTTTTTATAATTTCGGAAAATCAAAAATTCAAATGCTGCATAGCAACAAATTTATTAAAAGAGCTAATAACCAAACCCTAAATTAGCGAAATTTTTAGTGCGTGCCGTATACATTGTAAGTATATTCGTGTATGTTCACACAAATGTACATCTTTATATATGCAATAAAAAATCTAGTTTTTTTTAATGTTACAACACAATAATTAAAGTTTATTTGATATTAAATAAAAAAGAAACCTCATAATAATTTAATGGTAATTTTATAGATCGTTATATGCTCCAATCTATCGTAAATTAAACATAAAATATAAAATTATCACCACCAATCAACTATTATTTTGTACCACCGCAACAATACTACACCAGACTGACCTTCAAAATTTGGAAAACAATAATAATGAAAAAAAAAAATCGCTGTTTAATAAAACTTACTTGTAGGTCTGCAAATAAAAAATTTAAATTTTTTTTTTTTTTTTGTAATAAAAATGGAAAACTCATTAAAAAAAAGTTGCAAAACTACCAACAGAATAATTCATAATTCATTATTGTTTTTGCTATGTTTTTTCTTCTTTTAATTTATTTAAATAAATAGTGATGCGGTTATAATTAGAAATTCATAGGGAACAAAAAAAAAAACAAATATACACAATCAGTCAACTAACACATAAATTAAAAGAACAAGCTGAAAAAAAATAAAAAAAAAATATATTTTTTTAATTGCGTAATTTATTATAATAATAGCAGTAAATTTTTATTAAAATATGTATGTATGTATTTCTTTTTTTACCGCTTGAAAATAGTAAAATAACAGTAGTTGGCATATTCAGAATTATAGCTTTGAAACAAAAAATATTGTTTAATTATTTTATTATATTTTAATAAAGTATGTAATTATGTTGAACTCCCTAAATTTATGCAATTTAAAATTAATGTATTTTTTTTGTTTTTCTGAATGTAACATACATAAGTATTGTATATATGTACATGCTTCCCTGCATAATTATCTATGTATGTTTATGGCTTCTATGGTTATTTATGAATTGTGCTCGCTATATTAAAAAAATTAAAATTTTAAATTTTGTTCAAATTTCTTTAGAAAGTACCGTGAAATCAAAATTTTCAAGTAAGCCTAGATGAAAGAGCAATTCAGAAATTTAAGACCAAATTACATTACTGTTAACAGGCTTAATTTTTTAATTTTTAGTATTATTGACTGATTTAAGAAATGATGTTTCCAACTGAAAATATCGCATTATATTTAAAGCTTAACGCGGTTTTGAAAAAAAAATTAATTAAGATTTTGTTATAAAATAATAAGCTAGTAAGCGGTTGATTATGAAAGTAATAAGATGCGCACGCAAGAACAGACAATGTCTGCCCGAAGGCATAGTCACCTAGGCATGCATAAAAGTATAGGCAAGGCAAAGAATTGCATTTATCGTCTCTATTTAAAAATGGAGAAGACTCAAAATTATAGCTTTCTTTCTTATCTTATAATGAATAACATGTACCAAATGCAGTATTATATTGTATTTAGATTTGTAATTTTTGAAAATATTTTCTAAACACGAACACTTAATTTAAATATGCGTAAGCATTATTCTCATATTTTCTCTTATTTTATGTAATTTTAATCTTATTTTTAAATTAGCGTGTACTATGGGTGATTTTTAAATGTAATTTTTAAATTAAAAACTTAATGAAGTAGTTTAACCTTCTTTGTCTATTAAGAATTTCTGTAAATTTATTTGTGTAACCGAAAAACGTGGCATTGCTTTAATGTTTTAAAAGCATTGTATTAATTTTTAAATATAACCTGGTATACATACATGTATGTACACCAAAAAAAAAAAAAAAAAAAGATTTTTCTCACATTTTACCTATTTAACATTTAATTGATTTTAACATGACACTTTTAGCATAACTGCTATACTTTTAAATCAAAAGATAAAAAAGATATTAAAACAAGTCATTAAAAATTCAAAAGGCAACATTTTTAATTTAATCATCAAAGTAAAATATATACAATAAAATTTGTCAGAATGGATAGATAGCTGATAGCTAGCTTACTAATATGCTTTATATATAAAAGAATTTTGTATTGAAAATAAAATCAAATAATCTTCTTAAATTACAAAAGATCCAAAATTTACTATCCATAGTATGTTTGTGTAAAATTACATATTTACATACATATATGTATATGTATATGGTTTGTATATCAGCATTTAATTTATAAAATAAATTTGGAAAAAATGTCACGAAATTTCAATCAATTCAATCAATATAGAATTCTTAATTTTGAAATTATCAAATAAAAATAAATTTTATTTGATATACAAGAAATGGATTTTGTTTTGTTAAAATTAAATTTATGTCAAATATACATTTGTGGAATATCTATAAATATAAGCAGATATTTAAAAATTACAAAAAATTTGGTAACTAACAAACTAGTATTAAAATCCACAATTTTTCATTCATTAACTTTTTAAATAATTCTTATTTCTAAATTCGTAAAACAAAAATTATAACACTCTATTCAATTTACTCGATTCTAGATTACCGCCAATTAATATAAATTCGAAAATCTTAAATTTTTCATTTAAATTAAAAAAGGTTATAAAAATGATCAATCAAAAATCAAAAAATATAAATTTGATTAGAAAATTTCAAGGTTTAATAATTAATTTTTGTATTTTAAGATCACAAAAACATTGCATTCCTTAGTTTAAATGAGGAAATATACAAAATGTTTTAGGTTAATTTTAGTAGCGTCTGTTAAGAAAAATAGTGATGCAGACAATAAATTCATAATAATTTTTAAATTACCTACACTAACACAAAAAAAATGTCAAAATTTGCAATTTAACCTTGCTATGAATAATTTGTTTTTTATGGAATTAAATTCAACCTTTCTTTCCATCAAAAATATTCTATTAAAAAACTTAAAAAAAAAATGTGGTAATTTAATCATTTATCAAATTAAAAACCAACTTATTTAACAGGCGACTCCTGTCAGAGTTTTGTTAAAATGTAGATGGCCTCTATTTTATATAATTTTTAAATTATATGCACAAAAATGTGTTGGGGCATTGCAACTACAAACATGAATATTCTGATAGATCATTACAGTAAATAGAGTCTTCTCCTATAAATAATGAAGTAATTGAACTGTTATATGGACTGTTTCAACAATTGTAAATTAAATAAGAAAAAATAAAAATATAAATTGTTAAGAACACAAATGTTGCAAAAATTATTGTGCCATCACAATCAAACATTTTTAATTTGTATGCGATTTTGGACAGTAATGTTTAATTTAGATATAAGTATTTAGAATTTTAATTTTTTTCCTTGTATAGAATTACCAAAAATACTTTTTTATAATTCTTTTCTACCAGTTTACCTCCCGGACTTTAAAAATATAATTTTTTTTTTAAATTTATATTCTTGTCATGTCAATTAATTTCTATATGAATTTATATACACTTACACATATACGTATTTATAAATTGTAGATTTAATGCAACATAAAACACTTTGTTATACATATGTTTGTGTGTATTTTTAAATGAATCAATTAATATAATTAATTGAACAATAATTATTTACTAGTATATCTTACCTGTTTTTCAGTCTTAAAATTTTAACAAGATCTTTAGGAAATCTTGTATTTATATAATAATCTAATTTTTCTTTTAATTCCTCATTGGTGCTACTATCATCGACTAGTATAATTTCTTTTAAATTTCTACGATCTGATGTATTTATAACACTATGTACAGTTCTAACTAAAACTGAATATGGTTCATTATAAAATATAATAACAATACTAGCTGTTGGTAATTCAGCTTGATTATAAATTTTTTTAGCACATAATGGATGTCTTGCATCTGATAATGTTCTATTATAACTTAATTGTTCACTTAATTCTTCATTTAATGAAATTTTTTTATATGATTCATCACCGATACGTTTTGCTTCACCAGTTAAATGTACAGCTGCTCCATTATCACCTAAACCTGGTACCTAAAATTATATACAAAAAAAATATAATTTATTAAAATTTTATATTATTTTTTTTACAGAAAAAGAAAAAAAGTGAAGATTTTTTGATTCCTTGCTTTTATTTTTTTTAACAAACTTTTACTGTTCAACTCTATCGTCGGTTATAGCTACATATATGGACAAGAATTTATGAGTTTTCAATAAAATAGTAAGGAAATTTTTGTGATTTTATTTTTTTTTTGTTATAAAATATTTTGTATTTTATTACATTTTTTTTTGGGCAATATTTGTTTTTTTTTTTTTAAACAAAAAATTTTTATTTGTTAATACTTTGCCTTTTAAAAATGATTTTTAAAAATGTATTCCTGTTCACTAAAATGTTAAACAGCAGAAAAACAGAAGAGGCAAAAAAGTTAAGGCGGATTTACGATGATAATGGTGTTTCATTAACCTTTATTTGAATTTAAAATATCGTATAATTTTCATTTAAGGTTATCGTATTCATTTGGTTATGAAAAAAGATTCAAAAGGCTTTTAGAATTAAGGAAATTTTATTATTTCAAAATGTGTAAGTAGTGAATTTGTAAAATTTTGCAATATATCAACATTCTTATACACATATACAAACGTATGTGTAGTATAAAATAATGTTTTGGCAATAGACAATGATTAGGTACCAAATCTGAATAAATGCAGTTACAAATTCCATGCGTGACTTGTAGGAACTAAAAAATTAATTTTTATTCGCGTTTTATGCAAACGTCAATTTTTTTTTTCATAGCAATAAATTCATACTGCCACGCACTACAATTTTGATTTCGCGACCACTGCTCTGTGATTATTAGACGGTTCTCTCGAGGAATCTATCTAAATCCTTGATAGTAATCTTCAATATCTCATTCAAAACTAATGTCACACATGCTTTGCCCCACATGATTAGTCTAGCCCCACCTAAAACCAGACACTAGCAGAGATAGTGAAAAATGTACATAGTGTATAATATATACTAAGTCTAAAAATAATTTTGTCCTTAACCTTTAATTATTAATTTTGTTCATTTTAATTTTTTTTTAAAAATTGTATACGATCGGCAATACTATAAAATCATTTTAAAATTTGTATTTTATGTAAATATTTTTTAAGAAATTTACCTTTCTTTTGTTTTTTTTTTTTTTGCAAATTTATAATAATGTTATGAATACGAGTTTCATTTTCAATTTAAGGAGAATTTGAGGATTTTTTTTTTTCGAAATTTTTCCAAGAATTATTTATGCACCTTCATGTCATTATACATGTACAAAATATGAATAACTATACATAATTTTGTTTTTATTTTATAAAGTAGTTTTTTTTTTTGTTTTTGAAAAAGGGAGCATGTGTATTACGTAAAATTTGACTAAATAACTACAAAGATTATAAAAATGTAAAGGTGATTATGTATTAGTACATATTTATTTTTTATTTTTAAGAAAAAATGCCAACAATGTATTTATCTTTCTCATCTGAATCTGGAATAAATGCATATTAGCACATAATACGTAAATATTATTTTAGTATTATTTGTTAATATAATTAAAAAACAAGGAAAAATTATATAAATGGCACCTAACTGTGGCAACAGGATGGATGACTGCATTAATCTAAAGAGGAAAATAATTATACGCTTATGTACTTGTACCCTATATTTCAATAGCATAAAATATCTTTAAAATTTTGACTAAGATATAAGTAAGTCAAAATGAATAAATATGAAATTTTAACTAAAATCCTCATATGACATCATCGTTAGTTCCTCAACTTCAGAACGAAGAAAATTGTATAAGTGTGTGTATTCACTGTAAGTATGAAAAAGACATGCTGATTTTATTTTACATTAAGGAAATGTTTATTTGTAATGTAAAAATTTTTGCTAAAAAATTGATCAAAGAATCATCCCTGAAATTATTCGCCACCTTATGCGAAACAACCTGTATATGGGATATTTTATAATTTGTATCGCAATTTTTAAGAAATGAACCCCCATATATATATATGAATGTTTGAATTTGCATTTGGAATACATATATGTAGATATTTATATATGATATATTAAGCATTAAAGTTAATTATTATAGAATAATAGATGATATTAAAGTACTTCAATTGAATTTCCATTATGTTTACATACATATTATACATACTTATGTACCTATGTGTTTTTCTTTGAAGCAAAATAAAAAAACATTTGTTTAATTACAAAGAATGCCTTACACATAAGAAAGCGCTGTAAATTAGAAAGTCGATAAAGTGCTATATAGACCTTTTAGAGGGGTAGATTCCATGCATAATTCTTATACTCGCTTATGATGTAAGATAATTCAAATTTCAAAAGAAACTAAAAGAAAATATCTTAGCCTAATTATAGACCAATTCGTAGTATTTCAGATGAAGGAGTAATAAATTTTCCAAATACTGAATTATATTTATTATGCATAACAACAAATTTTGGTTAGTTTTATGAAAATTATAAAAATAACTGTACAAAAGCAAGGTGTTAATTATTTTAAATTAAATTCACAAAGACGATTTTTCATAATTCTTACTCTAATAAATCAAAATGAAAAGTTCTAAATTAATAAAAAAAATATTTTTTGCACCTGAATTGAATTAATGAATTTCGTATATTCCAGTATACGTACATATACTTACTTACATACATTAGTATAACGGTATAATAATTTAGTCTTATAACAATTTGTATTTAAGAATTCAAAAAGAGCAAAATGTCAAAAATTAGATCACAAACAAGTACTATGTGTGAATTGTTTAAATAAAATATTAGCATAATTTTTTTTTCAAAAATATTGGCAGAATAACTTATTGTGTACAATCGTAAGCAAATAATATGTATGTAGAGATAGGCATAATATACAAGGTATTAACCACATAAATACTAGGTACCAATTGGGAACGCGACTAGAATTTTAAAAGGAAATATTATAAAAGGTGTTATTCATATTGAATATTAACTAAAAAGTAGGTTGCCAAAAAAAAAAAAAAGATGCTAAAAATATAATAAGCTTTACAATCAACGTATGTATTGTATATCAACACTCCTGCATACGGTAGGCACTTTACCTACTATATAATTACGATAAATGAAGAAAGAAGTTGAAAATGATTATATAAATTTAATCTGACAACATGAAAAAGATAAAATGAGACGAAAATATTTATGATTGCTATGACGAGATCAACTCAAGAAAATTTACAATAACAAGTACTTGAACTTTGGTATGCAAAAATGACAAATTGTGTACGAAAGTTTTATAGCGTTTAACAGCTTTTTTTTTACTAATAAAACAAAACTTTTGTATCTTCAATGAAAAACCTTTTTCGATTTTTTGCGAAATAATTGCAAACACGAATTTATATTTTTGAGAGAATGACGTAAAAGTCAGCATGTATTTTGTTCAAGTTTGAAATTTTCTAAGTGTGTATGTGAGTAAATATTTTATTGAATTTATAACGTAAATAAATTTTTGAAAATAGCTTTCAAATTATATTGTATTTGAAAGATGATCCATTTGGAAAATTAAAATTAAATTTATGTTTTACGTCAAGTAGGACTATACTTAATCACTTTTCTTCTCAAATTTATTGCGGCTTGTGATAATAATAGTTGTGTATGGATTTATCACTGCGGCTTTATTTTCTGATGAATGTTTTTAAGTGTATACAGTCAATAACGAGTATATTGTTAACGGAACATCAGATTTATAATATCTAGGAATATTTAATTGAGTAGGCAATATTCTTGAAGTTCTGTATAGCTGTACAATTATGTACATATATGTGTATATTATATATGCATACAATATTGTCAGTACTTACAAGTCATATGAAAAAAAAATATATTTATGAAAAATGATTTTTTAAAAAATTAAAGCAAGCAATGAAAAATGTTGAAATACTCTTGACAATAATAATTAGTAAGTCTGTTTCTTTTTGATGATTTTTTTTTTATTTAATTTTGTTTTTGATCTCAAAGTTGTAAAAAAGAATAAATATGATAAATATGAGGAAAGATGCTAAGAAAGCACGATAATCTTAAGAACAAGAGAAAAAGAAATGAAAATGATTAAAGTAAAAATGTTAAGTCAAATGAAATCTCTTGTTGGAATAAAAGATGAAATTTTTAAAATTTACTTCTTTTCTTTGTAGACATATTATATATGTATGTGCATATGTACATACATAAATAATATTTACGTATACTCTTAAAGTAGGAGCAAGCTATGTATATGCAATTGAATGAATAGTGCTACATATACCCGTGTACTTACATAGTATGTATTTATAGTTGAAATATAACTTTTGCCAGAGGCCCAGTGGGATCTGTGATTTTTTTCATTTAAATATCTTCAAGTCAATATTTTTAATTTAAATATGTTAATGCAAAATTTTGTGAAAGAAAGCATCAATCGCATATGTATGTTTTTTATTTAAAAAAAATGAGGTAAGTTAAAGATTAAAAGGATTATTTCCTTTTTAAATATAATTCTCCGTTTTAAGTATATTCTCCATGTAGTCAGTATGTCATTTGACATTTGATATTAAAGTATGTGTTTAAATAAATATTGCAGTTGGGTAAATGTTGTGGCTTCGTACTCAATTAGGTTACGCAAGATATAGATTTATTCGGCATTTCTGAAATTATCGTTGACAAAATTTGTCGGAAAAGTAAATATTTTGTAATAATTTATTATATTTCGGTATTTTTTTTTACAATGCTTTAACAGAATATAATATGAAAATATATTGAATGTTCTACACATGTCCCAAAAAAAAAAGAACATTTTGTGCTTAATTTAACATTCGAAAACGTAATAAACGGGAAACAAACTTCTATTTTATTAAGTTCATTTCTACAGCTAAAACAACTAAGTATAAGAGTTTAAGTTATGCTTACTATTTCGCTTCCTGAGAATAAAAACTCAATTCAATTCTTTAAAATTCTTAAAATTTTTACCTTATTTATG